TCATTTTTGTCTGGGATAGGGCTACGATTTGGTCGTTTTTGTCTGGCGAATAGGCTACGCTTTCTGACGGCACACAAACAATAAAAACAAGTAAGATTGATTGCAATCTATTGACCAACCGGGTTTAGTCTGGGATAGGGTGTTCAACTCTTTGTTTTAGTCTGGGGTAGGGTATGTAATATCATAATTTTAGGTCTGGGATAGGGTCAAGGTTTTGAGGTCCTGGCGGCACACCCCTACCCAAGTTGGGGTGGTAGTACCCCCCCCCCTCCCCCGGGTCTCTCTTTACCACCTTTCGTCTTCTTGCTCACTTCTCTACCCCGAATTTTGTAGGGCATTTTGCTTAGATCAACACTATTTTTTTTTAAAATTATTATTAATGTTATGTGGCTAACTGACTAACTGATTAACAGACAGGACGGATGATCTTTTAATGAATGATTAATTTTCCTTGTCATTTCAGCATGGGTTGGCTCCATTGGGCAATTCTGTTTATTTTTCCTGGCCTACCTTTCCAGTTTACTTTCCGCAAGATTTGGCTGTCGCTTAATGACAATGGTTGGAGGTGTTTTAATGACCCTTGGCTTACTCCTGTCATCCTTTTCAAATAGTATTAAGCTGTTGTACTTTACTCATGGTGTTCTCTTAGGAATTGGTTCGAGTTTGTCTTATTTACCTGCTCTAGTGATGGTTGCGGATTACTTTGAAAAAAAGCGGTCTTTGGCCACAGGTATTGCAGCAGCAGGAGGCAATATTGGCGCCCTTGCTCTAGCGCCACTTCAACAAGTAATTGTGGAATCATGGGGATGGAGAAACTGCTACCGATTTCTTTCCGTTTTCTCTCTCGCTATTGTTGTATGTGGATTTTTGTTTAAACCTTTGCCAACTAATGCAGAGAGTGCCGAAGAGGCCTTAAGGGAAGAAAATGAAACAACTACTTCAAGTACGTGTACGACCGGAGTGATGATTATGGGTGAAAAACGTCAGTGTTGTCATTTAGGGCCTCGGTTTTTAATATGGGCAATAGCAGGAACAATAGCTTGTTTTGGGTACTTTATCCCTCACGTAAATTTGGTAAGTGCATGCGCATCTGTTATTACTGGCATATCTACTAATTCATTACATGAAATTTTTGCGACACATTAATTACGCGATTCCGGATAGAGCAGTTTTCGCATGACTGTGAAAAGCTCACGGCACGAACACGTTCTTGACACGGCTAGGGATACGCCAGACCAATCACATTGCTCGATAATTCACTCTCCATCCAATCAAATACCCAGAACACGGCATAAACAAGACGCGGACACGGTCACGCCAAAGTCACGGCACTTTCAGACCAATCACATTGCGCGAGAAAAAAAATCAGCCAATTAAAATTCTAGGAAGCATCACGGTCACGGCACGGCACTGAGCTTTTCAAAGTCATACGAAAACTGCACTATATGGTCTCATATTTTACTGCGGGTTTTCATATTCTGCGAACTCGGTAGTTGCGTGCTTCGTGCTGAAATTTGGCTTAATTTCGCTGCCGTCAAAAGTAACTTCACTAATTACTGGCGGCAATAAAAATTAAATGTCGGAGTTCGCAGAATATCGAAAACCGCTTGGTTTCCTTGGTTTTCACATGAGTATATTGAATGTTGGTACTAATCATTCCGGCAGTGTTGATCTGGATCGATAAGGCGCCAGTACACGCGGTTTTCAGTAACGTCTTTTATCGCTGGTTTTTAAATGGTTTTAAGGGCCACTTAATTTTTGCGTCATTTTATTTTGCGCGACGCTCATTTTTTCGCGGCAATTTAATTTCACGATTGTTTTGAAAATTTCGTGTAATACAACAGTACCTAGGCAGTTTAGAAGAAGTAAGAAAATCAAATGCAAAAACTCGAACAGCACTCCGCATTAGAAGACAAATCATAGATTTTGGAAGGGCAAGTGTTTTGGAACTGTCAACGATGATTGGATATCAGCCCTGATATTTAGGAAGATCATTTACGCTAATTTACGCGAAAGAGCATGCACGTATAATAGCATTAACGAAATGTCCTGAATGGTAAAAATGTCTATGTCATTTAGAGGTGTGAGATGCGCGAGATTTATGCAATTTATGGTTTTCAAACATTCCCGAGAGAATTAAATAACAAAAGACACGGCGACCATGTTGGAGGATATAACAAAAGAATTTATTGACAATTCTTTTGTTAAGTTCCCGGCTCCAACATGGCCGCCGTGAAAACTATCAATTCCGTTCATAGGTTAGGCTGGCAGAGGAGCTTGGAAGTACCTATTCTCAGGGATCACTTCTCCTCGCTTACATGAGTGCAACATCAGCTTTTGGAAAAGTAATCTTCGGAAAAATATCAGATATGAAATGGATGAATACATTAGTGCTTTATCAGGTAATATTCAGCTTTGTATAGCGTTTAATTACTTTTCGATGACAATACGATGCACTGCTGGCAATGCACAAAATGCACTGCTGGCAATACACAAGTATAACACAACAGACTTGATTAATAATATAACTTCGTTTCATGACAATTTCTTGTAGGTATGCATGGGTTTAACTAGCTTGACCTCGATTATTTGCATTGTGGCAAATAGCTACGAGATGCTGGTTATTTATGCAGTCGTCTTAGGCTTTCTGGATGGCTCGTTTATTGGTCTCATGTCTGTTGTAACTTTTGAATGTTCTAATCATGAAAACATGTCCAAAGCATGGGGAGGAGTGCTAATGTGCATGTCTTTGTCAATGCTAGTAGGCGCACCCGCAGGAAGTAAGTGGAATTATACTGTTTAACTAGTTGCCGCACATCGCATGCTGACTGATCGACGAATTTATATTAAGCTGTTCCCTTAGCCCATCAGATTTTTAGCGACGTAGAAATAACCAAATTGGCTATAAAAAGAAAGTCGTTTATGTTTAAGAAAATTCTAACCATTTGAGTTTAGGATTCTGATCTATCTAATCTTAATTATTTTTTCATTTACTATTGAATTTCAAAACCATACAGCATAAAGTCTTTTTAAATGCTTTTCCACTTTTTTTACTTCAGTCGGTTTGACTTTATATTACAGGTTGGTTGGGTGAAGCCACTGGACGTTACCGAAACGTGTTTTTCCTCGCAGGAGGCCCAATGCTATTAGGAACCATCTTATTTACATTCATCTGGTTCTTCAAGCAGCCGGAAAGATTAGAATCATCTAGAAGAACAGTTTGTCTTCCAGGAAGTCCTGGGGAAATATTTGTTTACGAAAAATTGACAGTTGTATAATTTCAAAATATTTTTAGGCAGGATATCGGAAGAAGAAAATTATAAAATGCGCCTAAGTAGGTGTAAATGGGGTTTTTTGCTGCTAGCTAGATAATAATAACGAAGATAATAATAACAATAAATAATTTTTGTAGGACCAAGTTATATGAAAATGATCAAGGTTTCTTGCGGTACTACAATATATACATACATACATACTTTATTAGCATTCCCTTTCGGGCTTTTCAATACCAGTTTATACAATCAATAATTATAAAATCTAATTAAAACTAACTAAAGTATAGAAGAATAGAAAAAATAAAATTTAAAACTACTATACCTCGATTATACCTACATGCGAGAAAACTACCATGGGAATACACCAAAAGACAACGAAACAATACTACAGTGATCCTCCTTTGTCCCAATGCACCCCCACCACAACAAACCACAAATGCCCCCCCCCCCCACTCCACTCCCGTATGACAACCCACCCCCGTATGACAACTCTCCCGCATGCAGGTCTACCTAAAATATAAAAGTCAAAATTTGAAACAAGTATTATAAAAATGCAAATTAAAACACACTATGAATACAAAATGATTTACTTCTCGCATCGTTTTGGTTTTCTAAAACAGCATTTTTTGGCCTATCACTAATACCTATCCAGGCAAATTGTAGATAAAGATAATAGCACAAACCCTTTCCCCCAAGTTGCAATTGGGGTTAGGAAACATGGCACCGACCCTAGAACAAACAAAGGCATGGGCCCTGTATCAATCCTGGTGGCCTAGAAATAGGAAGGAATGGTTTATCTTGCCAGTGTTGAAGATATCAAACCAAGTCACAATTTTAACATTAGAGAGTTTTAGATTTACGTTCACGGCAAACGTGAAACGTCAGTTGACCAGTAAAAAATTCTTTTACATCACTGAAAAAGAATCGCAAAAAAGTCCAAGTAG